GTGAATGTGTTCATAGTACACCCTAACTATGGGTGTAACATGAAATATGGTCCACAAAAGCAAACTTGGCCTGTAAAGGGTAACTCCACTTTTATGGGGAAATAAAAGGGTGATTAAGATACATTGCTAAGAGCTTAATAAACTTTCCTACCTTCTTCTGTCCTGAAGGATAAGCTGTTTGTTTCCTCGTGTCCTTTCCAGACTCATTCCTGAATGGGAAGGTCAACCTTCATTATAATCAGCTGGTGGACTTTCTGTGTTGTAATGAGGAAAGTTGCAGTGTCGGCATCACTTTAGTAGTAATTGTCCCTTATGGATTATCTCACCAAAATGGAAATTCCTATTGCATAGGATACCGAACATTTTACTTCTCTTATTGCAAATATCTGTCAAAACCAGCCAATCACAGAAGCAGGAAGTGACATTTCTGGGGGCGTTCTGAATACACCAACTGTGATACCGATAGACAATATATCAATAATATCTGAACACATGTCCACTTTTTTTTATGTGACATTTTATTTTGGTTATCTACAATAACATGTATTTCAGGGCACAGGTATAAAAACAAATGATGTGACAGAATCATTGGAGGTACAGATGTAACAAAGCGACCTCACATTAAAATACTAAACTTCTACAACAGACTACAATACAAAGTCCTTAGCTGCCCCCAAGAAACCCAGCAATGTGCACTTACAGTATATTGTGGGGAGATTTCCTGTTACAGATGCCCAGTACCCACCAGGGGACCGTTTTGGGGGCCTTGTGCCACAGCCTGTGCTACTGCACCTGAACCTAAAAGGACTAGAAGTTGCATTAGGGTAAAATTAAAGTCCAGAACAAAAAATAATTAAATGCGCTTTGTGTGCATGTTATGAGATATATATCGTACAATGACATCTACCTCTAATGTGGGTAGGGTTTAGTGTAACACAATAGACATCCTGGCTACACTGCTACTCTCCAATGGCTGTTTAATATTGCACCGTGCAAGTAAAAAAATGTAAAAAGTGTACAAGAAAGGTAACATTGTACGGAAAAAATTAAAGGAGAACTATGAGGTGAGTGATTTTCACTCAGCCTCATAGTTCGAGCCGACGTGCGACAATGAAACTGTCACAGGTCGGCTCAGCAGATCGGGAGGTGAGCAAACACATACCGGCGCTCGCTCACTTCTCAATCATCTCCCTGCAAAGAGCCGTGACTGCCAGTCACCGCTCCCGCAGGGATTCCCCCCATTCCGATCCTCCAGCGCTGACTGGAGGAACGGATGGGGGAGAGGGCGGGTACAGCTGGCTCTGCCTCTAGATAGGCAGAGACAGCTGCCACTTACGCAGCTGTGTGGATCTCAACAGTAATGTCCCGGATCCGTCCCGGCTGCGGCGGTCTCAGTATACCTCAAGCTGTAGCTCGCGGTATAGTGAGCTTTGGGTGACGGGAGGAGCTAGTTTGTGTCCTCCCGTGACCCTCAAGAGAACTATGGGGAAAAACACTTACCCCATAGTTCTCTTTTAATATTATTAGTGATGAGCTTGGGCTTGGTGCAAGCCTCATTCTCCCAAACTGTGATCAACATCTCTCCTCCCGTCCCAATCAATGGCAGCGGTTGCAGGGGGCGTTCCCCGCCTCTTTATTGCTGTGGGGAATGAAATTGCCACCATTGATTGGGCCAGGAGGGAGCGAGTCGGTCATAGTTTTGAGCGGCCTTGGGCAAATTCAGGGGAACTAGGTTAACACCAAGACCAAGCTCATCATTCATTATTATATACATAGCTTACAATCTAAAAGGGAAGGGCAAGCGATACAAAAGGTAATAGCTGTGAAGGGAAATACAGAATTTTCAGCATATATGTAACTGTGTATAACAGGGCGCTGATGGGATAGATCTGAAATAAGGATTCATTTTTCCAAAACTTTTATTATTCGCTGCTGCACATTCTATCACAAATGTAAAGCAGACATTGAGCGTTGTTGATGCCAAAAGACTGAACAATCTAAAACAAAAAAACAAAGTTATCTTCAAGTGAAACCTCAACTCTTGTTGAGGAGAACAGTTCTCTAGGAGTTGGCTTTATACTTTGCATGCATTGTACTAAAATGAATTGCAGATTCTTACCCATACCTGCACTGCGCATACCAACTCAAGGGTCCCATCCTCCTTCCCGAGTGCTGAGTGGGAGGGTCTGCCAGCTACTGTCACATGATCATGTATAGTCTTTTATTAAGATATTGTGGGGGGGAAACCAATTAAAGTGACACGAAACTCAGGAGTTCAATCTTAAGAATACATTCAAGTACCTTAACTATTGCCAACAATGTATCTTATTTGTGTATCACTCGGCTGTAGATCCTCAAATCGTCTCTGAATTGGAAGCTAGTGTAAACCGGCCCTTAATTGGTGCTGACACTGTCCTTCCTTCTGGAGGGTGACTACTTTTGTTCCTCCATGGTCCCTGTGCATCTTGTAAAGTAGTCACCGCTCCAAGCTCGCTCCTGGGATGGACTACAAGCTCACGTTTCAGTTAATAATTTGTATTGAGATTGTAGTCCATCACAGGAGCAAGCTGGGAGCGGTGACTACTTTACAGCACACACACAGGGACCATGGGGAACAAAAGTAGCCCCCCTCCAGAAGGAAGGACAGTGTCAGCACCAATTAAGGGCCGGTTTACACCAGCTTCGGTGTGTTCAGCACGATTCGAAAAAAATAATGCCGGACAGGATGCGCTCCAGTGCGTTGCAGCAGCGAATCATGCTGGAAACGCACCGGAGCTGGTGTGAACTGGGCCTCAGAGATGATTGGAGGATCTACAGCCGAGTGATACACAAATAAGATATATTGTTGTTAATAGTTAAGGTACTTGAATGTGTTTCTAAGATTTAACTCCTGAGGTTAGTGTCACTTTAACCAATCACATGAGCAGGAAAATACATTTCTCAGGATGTGCTGTCCACAAACAAAGGCTCTTTACTAAGGGCGTTGAGAATCTTCACACAATAAATGCGGTGAATAATATTCAATCATGTGTCAATTATCCAATCACATTGAGGCAGCTGATGTAAAGGTTTCTGTTTCCAATAACTACTTGGAAAACAACTGAATACTTTGCCAATTGTCAGCATCCTCCTCTTCTAGCAGACCGGAAAGTCTGTTTTCAGCACCTAGTTGAGGCAGGAGATAGTTCAATAGTCCAATACTGTGGAATTTCATGTTGACAGGGATAAAATATAAGTGAATAACAGCACACTGCTGTCCATGGGAAGTGAGATGGAAGACCTTTAATAACCAGAGTGGGGATTTAAATTATTACCATGCCTGTGTTCTCTGTAAAAGTTACAGATACTCGTCTATGAGCTAGCCGGATAGGAAGTCAGATGCAGCGATATCCCCAGGACATTTCTACTGGGTGAATGTTAGCTGTCTTCTGGCTGCCAGTTGCTCTTCATCCTGGCAGAAGAGTATTTTGCTCTTCTCTCTGCTCATTCTTCCCATACAATGAAGAAAGCATGGCCACTATGTCTTGGTAAACAAGCTGGGGGTGAAGCCCACCAATGATTACTCTTTAACAATACTTCCAGAATGTCTTCACAGCCATCTTTGAGGTGGGCATGCTCTATCATCTCTACTTTTACCTGGGAAGGAAAATCGGAGTGCCAGAAATGATTGTTCACACTAATACACCTCCATTGTGCTATATATGTAGTTTCGATAAGTTTCCAGAACCTTTACACATTTCTCCACACATAATAAAAAATATTTAACACGGGTTAACTCGTAATTTATGTTTAGTGGTCTGTGTTATTTTGTGCCATGAACATCGTTCGCCATGGGAAGCCAAGTCTCTGGTGTTACAGGGCAGCTGGTGCACTTTTTCTTGAAAATACAGTGAGTGGTTATGGAACAACATAACGCAGGAAGACAAAGAACAGGAAGTAAAACTAATATTGTGGTAGTTTTCTATTTCAGTAAGAGAATGTAACATATGTTAATACTGATGATAACTATCTTTATAGGATGACCTTGCAGCACCATTTTCTGTCCATTTAGTCCTCAGTATCTGGTACCTTTTTAGTGCGTTATTGCTCCAGAAGATATTACACGGCAGAGACCATGGCCTAATCCAGCTTGTTGCCCGTTGCCTTCTTGGTTGACTTAGCTATGACCTTCTTGTGGCTGGATGGTTTCGGTTCCTCTTCACTGATGGCTTTGTCTTTGTCCATGAGGTGTTTGGAGAGGACTTCCTTTTTACTGTCCACAGTGGCCTGACGAAGGGCTCTCTTTAGGTTTTTTACCTTCTCTCGAAGGTGGGCATTGGCTTTCTCTAAGAAACGGACTTTCTGGGATAAGGTCTTTGAACGCTCCTCTTCTTCCAGCAAAGCCCTTTGAACTGAATCACACAGCAACTGCAAAAAAGGAACAAAAGTAAAGATGGAGTCGCCCAGAAGGATCAGTCATTGTGAGAGATCAGCTAGTATTGGCCATATTTAAAGGAGGAACTGTTTTTGATGGACATGGCAGATTTCCTGTCTCAACAAATACATTTTAACGTCGGACAATGTTCTCAAGCTGGAAGATGGGAGATGCAATGTTCATAAAACAGCAGGTTAGAGCCTTGGTCTGTGTGTTTTCTTTATTTTACTTTGTTTCCATTGAATGAGTGAATTTGCCCCCACTTCTGTCCCAATGAGATCCTGCATCATGGTGTGACAAGGTGTCATCATAGCGTGAAAGGCAACCTCCTCATTGGGAAGTTACATACTGTGAGGAATCTGTTCAGGTTTATTGAAACTAGGACCCACCATGACGCTTAATCCATATTGAAAAATGTAAATATGCAACTTTTGTGCACTGAAAAGATCATCCCTTTTATTGTGGAGAAGAGAGAACAATCTCTAAGTAATCACAGAGAGCGCAAACCATGCTGGAAATTATTTGTGTGTGATAATAAAGAATTTTGATACTGCGTGGTCTTGTTATTGCCTAAGAGTTACCCTCCCATTCACCTCCATGGCCCACTTGCTGCAAAGCATCAATCAGCTGCCTTGACTGAACACATCAAGCAATACATGGCCAGCTCTAAAGAATATATTGTATGACCATTTAGAATTGGCAATCATTATTATGGCTCTGACCTATTTAGATCAAATGAATACCCAACCAATTATTCTTTGGGGAATCGTCAAACAAGGGAGCTATAGATTCATGGTCAATCTTTATTGTTTCTTTGAAAAAAAGCCACAGCAAACTGGATCTTCAGAAGGGAAGGAGGGAGGTCTCTGCCTAGACATGTAGATTCTGACAATACAGTATGTACATATTTTCCAAAACATCCTATTGTCTTCTCAGGTGTACACTCAACTATCCCCTAGTCTTAGGTCTACACACTCAACTGATCAACTCTATCCTAGTCTTAGGTATACACACAACTGATCAACTTTCTCCTAGTCTTAGGTATACACACAACCGATCAACTATTTCCTAGTCTTAGGTATACACACAACTGATCAACTATCTTCTAGTCTTAGGTCTACACACTCAGCTGATCAACTATCTCCTAGTCTCAGGTCTACACCCAACTCATCAACTATCTCCTAGTGTTAGGTCTACACCCAACTCATCATTTATTTCCTAGTCTTAGGTCTACACTCAACTGATCAACTATTTCCTAGTGTTAGGTCTACACCCAAATGTTCAACTATCTCCTAGTCTCAGGTCTACACCCAACTCATCAACTATCTCCTAGTGTTAGGTCTACAACCAACTCATCATTTATTTCCTAGTCTTAGGTCTACACTCAACTGATCAACTATTTCCTAGTGTTAGGTCTACACCCAAATGTTCAACTATCTCCTAGTCTTTGGTCTACACTCAACTGATCAACTATCTCCTAGTCTCAGGTCTACACCTAATTTATCAGTTATCTTCTAGTTTTAGATCTGACTTACCAATTATCATTTTAGTTTATGGATTATATTCCTGTCTTAGGCGTACACAAAACATATTAATTATCTTAGTCTTAAGTCTACATTTATCAATTCCTAGTCTTACACACTAAGTTACACTTAACATATCAATTATCTCATAGTCTTAGGTTTACACCTAACCTATCACCTATTCTAAAGAATTGCCCACAGAAACCATTTTGTCCTTTTATGTTCTCATACTGTAATGTGCTATTTCCTTTCAATATTTTAAAAATTTGAAGATCACATTCACAAACTGGAACAAGTTGACGAACACAGAGGCCACAAAATAGACAAGTGAGCCAGGAAACATCATTAGAAAAAGATGGAATAACCTGAAAACCTCAAAGGAGAAATGAACAGTGAGCGAGGAGGACACAGATAAGGATGAGATAACATGAAACAGCAGATGTTTGTCCTCTGCTCACCCTACTGTCCTCCTGAGCCTCCCAGTCTGGAGAGAAGATCTGAGGATCCGTCCCAGTCGCACAGTTGGAAAACTGAAAGATACTGGCAAAGATTCGATTGTTTTCTGGTGTGTTGGTGAAAATGGGGTCTTGAAAGTTGACTCCGTGAGGAAGGAGATTGTAATTTTCATCCATCCTGAAACAATAAAAAAAGATTAGAATGAAGAATAGAAAGCACAATGGAGGTTTTAAGAAGCACTTTAGGAAGAGAATCAGTTCTTTTGATTGAAAACATTAGAATTGTATTTCTCTCAGAAAGTCCATTCACCTCACCTTTGAAATAAACTTTATATACTATAAGACTGTCTCCCCAGACCCAAGGAGGATAAGGCTGCTAAACTGTGATGGGAATTTTGGGTAAAAATCTGTTGGTGACATTTTTCCATGCATTGGGAATCAATTGGGAAGGTGAAATTGAGTTTTTTGGTGGTTTTTAAAATGACTCTGCATGAGCAAAGTATAGGGGGATGTCATCGCTGGCCTTCTTTTAAAAATACCAGTTGTCTGCCTTTAATATTTTAGAGTCCTGGAGCCAATATATAGTGTAAAAAAACAGGGAAGACGAGATGAATTAAAGCGGAACTCCAAGCAAACAGCTCAAATCAGGTAAGACCAGCTGGGTGATTCACAAAAGGGTGAAGAGTTTGGAGAAGGGAGGAGAAGTGAACAATCTAGGACAACAAAACTGAACTGGAAACATTCTCTAATTCAGCTCAATTTCCAGTTCAGCTGTCATCAGGGAAGGGAACTATTCATTTCTGTCTTTTATATCTGCGTGGCATTCAGCTTTAATGAGGGTGAACAGCAGACTTTGGCTTCTACTGGCTAACAGACGAAATCTCAGCAACTTTCAGTAAATTGTGTTATGCATGAGCTATTGGAAGAGGTAAATATTATGAGAACAGAAACAACACAAACTATACAATGATTACAATGACGTAGTGCTGCTTCTGGGAGGTAAATTCAATGCAAGAGTGACCACAATCCCGCTCCCCCATTCCCAACACACTGATCCTTCTACATCGAATGTATTCAGAGTCACATCTCTAGGAGAATTCCATGAATGATCCCACAGTGGTACTTCAAAACCTATACATGGAACCATCCGTAGTATGAAAGGATCAGTCCACCAATATTAGTAGATGTTGGAGAGCACAACCCCCGAGACAGCTTCTTTCATCTCTTGGGAACGCTATTGGTGAGATCTTTGTGCTGAATTCCCAGGTCCTCCCACCCGCTGTAGCCATTACGACAACAGGAAGTGAAACGAAATCCCAACTTTTGCAGCGGTCACTGGGGCAAGTGTCCTCAAAAGAAGGTTTGTCCCTTATTTCTGTTCTGGTCACATCTGTTAAACTTTGGATCTTCTTACCTCCCCCTGTCTCAGGGACAATGACCACCAAGACTGCAAGGGAGGGTGAATTCAACTCATCAGTTGAACTCACCCAGTGGGCAATAAAAATGTGATGGGGGTATTAAGGCTTCCAAACTCTACCCAAAGCTTCAGAAAAAGGCTTTTAGCCAGAGTTTTAGATACAGCCAGGCAACCTGCAATTTTCAACCTGTAATACATAAATTCTCCCGGAGGGAGCAGAGCATGGCTTCCTGCCCGGATATGGAGCTCATACAGCAATCCAAACCCATCGTCTCTGACCATCTAATGCAGCATGCCCATCGTCTCTGATCATCTAATGCAGTATGCCCATAGTCTCTGACCATCCCCTGTTGCATGTCTGCAGTCTCTGACCATCTCATGCAGCATGTCTACAGTCTCTGGCAGCTTTCTGTAGCATTACATTCTCTGAATATTATGTTTAGCTCTTTGGTGATGTCAGGAGCCCCCATATCAAGAAAGAAAGTCAGAGGGCACCCTTTGCCCTGCCACCCCCTTCCTGGGCTCTTGATCTCCAGCTGTTTTCCTGACACTGCCGCCTCGTCCGCATGCATGGGGCACCCGTCGCACCGGCCCTGCCCAGCGGATTATGCCGCATTCCTAAAGGATTTAAGGGCCGCTGGCTTTGCAAAGTTGTTTTACCTTTGATCTTACGTGGGCGCTGTCACATGAACTTAGTGTCCCAAATTCAAAACGTGCGCAACCAGCGCCGCCTGTGTCTGATCTCTCCTGGAGCGCGGTCCTGGTCGGGGACAGCTGTGCAGGAGTGATGACAGAGAGAGCAATGGCAGGTGATGGAATTGCGCCAATTAGTTTTATGCAAAGCTTGGGATTGAGGGGATCAGCAAGAAGGGTCTCTGACAAGACCCACCCGACGCCCGGCACCACATGTCCCGGGCATCAGGAGATAGGAATTCCACACCCCTGCTGCCCCGCTACTCCATGCTGCACCGAGGCCGGGCCTTGGTTGGCCTTGTGGGAAATCCGGCCCTGCTGACAACCCTCACACATGATGTTTGATGTTCAGCAGCAGGGTGTTCAGGGTTATGGGTTTGCATCTGAACCTTTACCTCCTCATACAAGTCAATGTGGAATGAAGAGCAGCTCAGAAGCTTGAAGCAATTCCTCGTGCACCACAAGACCAACAAAGCAACTCAAACACACTTGAAAGCAAACCGCATTCGTATTGCCTCTGCGTATGGCGCCCGGAGCCCTTCGGCTTCATTTACACATGCGGCAAAAACAGGCGACTGATCCTCGTTTTTATCATCCTCACCGCCCACCGAAAGCCTAACATGTCTGTACGCACGCTGCGGCTGCAGTGCTCTGATTCCCAGGCGCAGCAAATTTTATGCAGCATGTGGTGTTTGGAAGACGATGCCGCTATTGCAGTCCATGGGCCCTCGTCCGTACCTGCGTGCCAATCAGATTAGGCACTTCCTGTTATTGGGTGACAATGTTCTGTCAACATCTCCTATTTGCTCTCTTCTGTTGTCACCCTGTCACGTGCTCCCTGGAGGAGATTATAATTGGCCGTGACGACACACCTTGTGCACCCGTGGTCCATCATTTTCATGCTTAGGAAGAGAGTCCAGAGTTTTACTGGTGGCAGAATCTTATTGTCCTTATACAAGTCATGTGACTTGTTCCTTCAATCTTGGTGAGCTTTGTGTATTTCTTCCTGATCTGTGCAGTAATCCAGTGTGAGACTTGGAGCTTCCTGTAATAAAGACCGCTCACTGCTGCTCTGTCTCCTCGTGCAGGGTGACTGGTCTTGTCTCTGCCCCCTCCTGTAATAAAGACCGCTCACTGCTGCTCTCTCTCCTTGTGCAGGGTGACTGGTCTTGTCTCCGCCCCCTCCTGTAATAAAGACTGCTCACTGCTCTCTCTCTCCTCGTGCAGGGTGACAGAACTCGTCTCCACCCCCTCCTGTAGATTTCTGTAGTGGGTGGGGCCTGTTGGGTCCCTCCCACAGCTCTGCTCTCTGCACAGTCTATGTACAGCAGAGTGATGATGTCACTGCCACTTTTACAAGGTATTATCTGGGTTTGTAAAGACATTGGGTCCTCACACAGTAGATTTATATCCTCGGTGGCTATTGAAGAATATATTTAAAGGAACATTTTTGAGCCCGTTCAGCGTTAACTGACATCATTAGCATTGTACTAGATCCCTTCCCTGCTCCTTCTCCTCTATGGGAACGTACATAGCACATGTGTATTGTTGTCATATGTCCGGAAATCACTCTGAGATTGAAGCCTACGGCCTGTGCCGACCCTCGTTGTCTTCCAGTTGAGGGCGGAGGGCTCTGGATGTACATTAAACCTTCCCAATGCTTTCTAATTACAGACGGCGGGCTCTATCGCTGCAGCTGGTTCATATGGTGGCCGGGCACCCCCTCCTCTCCCTTAACCCTTTCCAGGGACGCCCCATGGGACAGGCCCACTAAGCAGCGTTCACTATGGGAGGCCCTGGTTTGGTCTATGGTAACAATAACACATTAGAAGTGTAAATAAGCATTGTATACTGCATATATACAACCGGAGATGTGCGGGGGATGACCGGGCCACCATAGAGCTGAACTGACATCACCATACTGAATCTTATTCCCCGATCTGTATTTATAATACGGCCAAAAGTATTTCTATTTTGGATCTGATGTCATCATGTGACGCGGTTTATTTTTCTACTCATTTTAAAGCTTTACAAGAGGGGGGCGGAGACAAGACCAGTCACCCTGCACAAGGAGAGAGAGAGCAGCAGTGAGCGGTCTTTATTACAGGAGGGGGCGGAGACAAGACCAGTCACCCAGCATAAGAAGAGAGAGCAGCAGTGACTGGTCTTTATTACAGGAGGGGGCGGAGACAAGACCAGTCACCCAGCATAAGGAGAGAGAGCAGCAGTGACTGGTCTTTATTACAGGAGGGGGCGGAGACAAGACCAGTCACCCAGCATAAGGAGAGAGAGCAGCAGTGACTGGTCTTTAATACAGGAGGGGGCGGAGACAAGACCAGTCACCCTGCACGAGGAGAGAGAGCAGCAGTGATCGGTCTTTATTACAGCAGGAGGCAGAGACAGACGTAGCAAGAAAAAACCCATTCTCCTGCTCCCCCCTCTTTCAATCTAGTAGATCTGTCCCTTGTGATCTTGTACTGGACAGGAAGTTCAGGGAAGCCGAGCTGAGAGAGTTGGAGCCGTTCAGAAACCTAATGACTGTAAGTGTTTGGCCAAAAACATAAAGGAACACTTTGCTGTACAATGTACTGTACATTTGTATCTATTGGTTTCATTATAGAAAACAAGTTGGAGGATTTCATTCTACTTTAAGGTAATGTGACTCATTTCTGGGATCGAGGCGCCAGCAGCAGATACAGGTAGCACCAGATCCCAGAGGGGACCTCCGTTCCTTCTCTCCCGGACTCTCCCCATTGGAAGACATCAGATTCCGGAGGGGACCTCCGTTCCTTCCCTCCCGGACATTCCCCATTGGAAGACATCAGATTCCGGAGGGGACCTCCAATCCTTCCCTCCCAGACTCTCCCCATAGGAAGACATCAGATCCCGGAGGGGACCTCTGATCCTTCCCTCCCGGACACTCCCTATTGGATGATGTCAGATCCCGGAGGGGACCTCTGATCCTTCCCTCCGGGACACTCCCTATTGGAAGACCTCAGATCCCGGAGGGGACCTCCGATCCTTCCCTCCCGGAGTCTCCCCATTGGAAGACATCAGATCCCAGAGGG